CCTCTACACTTTTGCACATGTTTCCTCTACCAAGAACACGGTTCCCGGCCCTGCATTATGTGTGTCCTCTTGACCCCAGGTCTCCGTTGAAATATTTCTTCCCCAGGGAGGCCTTAATCTGTCTAAACAAGAACCCCCACCTATCCAGCCCATTATTCTCTCTCTTTCATCACACATCACAATTTGATATTATTAATTTGTGGCTTCCTTGGTGTTAGTCTGTGAGCTCTAAGAAGACAGGGCACACAGTAGGTGCTCAATTAACTTTGGTTGCATGGAGAAATGGTAAGAGAATAGGATGGCCTTGGAGTCAGAGTCAGAGGCCCCATTCTAGACTTGCTGTGTGCCATTGGAGCAGGTTCTGGCCCTCTCTGGGACCCAGTGTGTCTGATGGGGGGAGCTTTGTGGCCTCTGAGGATCCTGCTGTTCTGATGACCTTGAGACACCTGTGTAGGGCACACAGGACACACCCTTGTTCCCTGGGGCATGGGGGCTGAGGCTAGCTGGAGAGGCTGAGGTAGGCAGGGTCTTTTTTTATTATTATTAAGTATATTTTTATTGATTTCAGAGAGGAAGGGAGAAAGAGAAATATCAATGATGAGAGAGAATTATTGATCGGCTGCCTCCTGCATGCCTCCTACTAGGGATCGAGCCTGTAACCTGGACATGTACCCTGACTGGGAATCAAACCATGACCTCCTGGTTCATAGGTCGACACTCAACCACTGAGCCACGCTAGCATGGCGGCAGGGTCTTGAAGCTCTTATATCCGGGGACCCTGTCAGGCCTTGGTGGCTACAGTCTGGCCCAGCAAGAGCAGTCCTAGGTGTCTAGGGTAGGAATGTGGCCTGAAGTCCCCACTGGTCCCTGTGCTCAACTAGACAGCCACCATGCTTAGTGTCCAGGAGGGAAAGGGGCAGTTCCCCCGCATGCCGCACCTGGCTCCCCAGCTGCAGGAATAAGGATCTTCCTGCTCAGGGTGTGCAGTGGGGAGCACACTGAGCTAGAGGTCAGGTGTCCTGCATTCCAGGCCCTTTCTCTCTCTGCTGACCTCATCCAAGTCCCCTCTGTGCGCTGGGCCCCAGTTCCCATGCCTGTACAATGGACTCACTCTTAGGACTCTTGGGGCCCTGATATCCATCCAGGATGACTGTGCTGAGGCCTGGGACATGTGCGCTACTTCCTCGGCCCAGGAGGAGCCTGGGGTGGGGGGTGGGGGGCTCAGTGCTGGGAGCGTGGGAGAGACAGATGTGGTGGCCGCTGGCCCTGCCTGAATGAGTGCTGAGCAACCTCCTGGGAATTCTCCCACTCAGGCGCCCTTTCCGGACCCCTTGTCTCCCCCCCCCCCCCAAGCCCGCCCCACTGAGAACTGTGGCTTCCGGCTCTCACAGGGTGGGGCGGAGGGGGGGGGAGATTGAGGTGGGGGTCAGTTCAGCCTGGTTCCCTCCTTCAGGGAAGAGCATGGGCCTGAGAGTATAGACAAAACACTCATTTCCAGTCCTGGTCACACACAGTCACTTGAGTCACTGGGCCTCAGTCATCCCGGCTGTAAAACGAGGGGTTGTCCCAGCTTCCGGAGGATTCCATGACAGTAGCTACCTGAGAATCCGTCACCTTGTGTGGATTTTTCTTGTTTTTCTCTGTCCCTTGCATAAAGTGCTTTCTGTGCATCAGTTATTCAGGCCTCTCAACAACTCTGAAGTAGGCACTTGTGTCCCCATTTTACAGCTGAAAACACTGAGGCTGAGACAGCTCAGATCAGGTCATTTGTCCACATCAGAGCTCCCCTTGAGTGTGCCACCGTGCAGTGGGGAGGGGAAGTACTGAACCCCAAAGCTCAGAGCTCCTCTCTCCCTCCGCTCCGCATCCCACTGCACCTCGGGCAGTGTTCCCCACATGCTATGCTCACCCACTCTCAGCCCAGCTTCCCCCAAGACAGGGCTCCCAGCATCTGGGCAGATGGGATACTACTAATGGCTCCTCCTGTTCACAGTGGGGCTGGGGCCATGCTGACCACCCCAGAATGTCGGTGTTGTATGGCCCATGGGCACTGCCCACTGCCCACCCTTCAGATGCACAGAGGAAACAGAGGTCCAGGGAAGGAGAGCTCAGCCCAGAGCACACAGTGATGGGCTGCAGCCAGAATGAGGGAAACCCACTATTTCAATCGTAACACTTCCAGACACTGTATTAAGCCCTTTAAATGCATTGCTGTTGCTTCACTTTCCTGAGGAGCAAACTAAGGCTCAGGAGTCTAAATGACTTGCCTAAGACCATGCAGCTTGGCACTGCAGAAGCTGGGATTTGAACCCAGCTCAATCTCTAGTTTCTGAACCTGCCCTGCGAGTCATGACCCTTCTGCCTCAACTGTCCAGCCCTCAGAGAGCGTCCTATTGTGTTCTGTGTGACTCTGCACCCCCCAACCCCATCTCAGCTGAGAGGAGGTGTAACAGCCCTGATGCCTGCCAAGGGTTAATGGTAATAGGGGCTAAGTGATTCCAGATGGGCCAGTCGGACGGCTGGGCTGGCCGGAAACTGGCGGCCGCCAGCTTCCCAGGGGAGGCACCACCAGCCACCCCCTCCCCTCTCTGCTGCATCTCTGGTCCCCAGCTGTCCCCTTGCCCTGGGGCCCACGAGCCTCCTCTCTTTAGCCAGAGTCCAACTCCAAGGAAGTTGCAGACAGAGCGTCCCAGGGGCCTACCAGCGCAGTGAGTCCCCTGTACAGTTGGGGAAACTGAGGCTCAGGGAGGACAAGGTACAGGCCACATGACAAGTCCTCGGCTAGGTCTCCTGACTCCCAGACTAGTTTGGGGGGACTAGGGATTGAAACACCTCCTACTGCCCCTGAGCTAAGCTGTCCCAGCAGATGGACCAAGACTTCAGAGGTGAATGACCAAGGCAAATGCCAGCAGGGGGGGTTGTAAAGACTGATGGAGTTTTGGGCACAAGAAATCCCTGTGCGGGCTGACCCTATGGTCTTTAAAGTGCCCTGTATTCCCCTATGACCCCGAGGCCACAAAGCTGGGCCAGGCCCCCTCTCTGGGAGGCTGTCTTGGCCCCCACCCTACAGCCTGGGGTCAGTCTGAGACCCCTCTCCCTGTGTGGCCCAGCCCAGATAATCTGCTGGGCAACCCCCACTGGGACAAGACCAAGCAATGACTGTCCTGCCTTCTTTCTAGGTTATCCCTTCCGCTGTCCTGTAGTTGGCACAAAATCCCAGCTCAAGCCCAGGATGGGACGAGGGTAGGCAGAGGAACAGGCTCTGTCTAGTGTGACCAGGGACACTTTCTTCCCCTCTCCGGACTCAGTGTCCTTGTGTATAGTAGTGGGGGAGGGGGTGATTCAGATCAACTCTCTAAGCCAGTGATGGCGAACCTATGACACGCGTGTCAGAGGTGACACGTGAACTCATTTTTTTGGTTGATTTTTCTTTGTTAAATGGCATTTAAATATATAAAATAAATATCAAAAATATAAATCTTTGTTTTACTATGGTTGCAAATATAAAAAAATTTCTGTATGTGACATGGCACCAGAGCTAAGTTAGGATTTTTCAAAATGCTGACACGCCAAGCTCAAAAGGTTCGCCATCACTGCTCTAAGCCCTTGTAAAATGGTGCCCGGCTGGCCGGCATGGCTCAGTGGTTGAGCGTCAACCTATGGACCAGGAGGTCACGGTTCAATTCCCAGTCAGGCCATATGCCTGGGTTGCGAGTTTGATCCCCAGTGTGGGGCGTGCAGGAAGCAGCCGATCAGTGATTCTCTCTCATCATAGATGCTTTTATCTCTCTCGCCTTCTCCCTATCTCTCTGAAATCAATAAAACTATATATTTTTTTAAATTAAATGATGCCCTTTGGCATCTAAGGGCCAGGCATTTGTGACTAGAGACATCTTATCTGAGGAGGTGAGGCTGGGAGAAGTGAGGGGATGAGGACCCTCAGCAGTGATCCTGGAGGAGACCCTGGTGGGGGGGAGGGGAAGGCAGGCGGATGGAAATGGAATATAACAGGTATTCGACATACCTGTTGAGTGACTGAATGAGAGACAGAGGAAGGGATAACCTAGAAAGAAGGCAGGACAAGAGAGCTGGTCTACACTGCAGTGTGGGTCTTCCGCTGGGTCAGGCCACCTGTGTCTGTTCCAGCGTGTTCCTCACGAGACCTGATTTTGCTCCAGTTCTGCCATTGCGGTGTGAGCTGGGGAAGCTCATTTCTCTCCTCTGGGCTTCAGTTTCCTCGTCTATCAAACGGGGGAAGAATCCTTCCCTGGAACTCCAGGAGCTTTGACATAATAGAAAGAAATATGTCTTGAAATCTGAAGTATGCTGGTGACCTTAGACAAGTATTTCTCCCTCTCTTCACCAGTTCACCCCTGGGCCTTGGTTTCTTCTTTTGAGAAGTGATTGATAATCTTGGAAGGTCTTTTCATCTTTTCCAAGTCACCTCTTCTCAGAAGCCCTCTCTGATTTCCTCCAACCTCAGTTAGATGCCCCTCTCAGCCCCCTGCCCTCCCTTGGAGTACCTGCCTGTACATTGTCTCTCTCCCAGCAGCCTGGGTGCCCCTGAGGTCAAGGATTGTAATCTACTGGCTACTGCATTTCCAGCACTCAGCACAGTGTCTGGCACATAGTAGGTGTTCAACATACTGGTTCAATGAATGGATGTTGAGTGAATCAACTGTGTAAGTGACCAGAGCTCTTTATAGATGGGGAAACTGAGGCACAGAGAAGGGACCCACCCCCAGGTGCTATGGCAAGGGGAGGCTGCCACCCGAGACAGGCATTAGGCTAGTGGGGCTGGGGCACTCTTTAATAAAAGTGACTCAGCGGCTGGCGTGGGCTGTGGAATTTCTAAACATCCCCTCACATCCTGAGAGAGCAGGCGGCGGGAGGGAGAAAGCAGAGGGAAAAGAGGAAGAAAAACAAGAAACTTGGGGGAAAAGAAAGAGAGGAGGGAAAAAACCTAAAATTGAAAACAGACACACGCGGCGTCCACCCTCTCAGCTCCACCACCCCCCCTCTTCTCCAGCTGGGCCAATCAGAGGCCGCCCTGCAGCCTTTCCCCCTAAGTGGGGAGGGCAGGGAAGCCCACAATGGTGTGAGCTCTGGGGGCTGCCAGCCGCCCGCAGTCCCCGCCCGCCCCCGTCTGGGACCCAGGATCGCTCAGTGAGGAACTTGGACTGGGAGAGGAGGAGGACAAGGAGAGAGCTGGGCCTTTCTGACCAGCACCCCCCGGGGGCAGCAGCCTGTGTGGAGCGACACAGACAGCCAGACCCAGGGCGGCCCCTCCTGGCTACCCTGCTCCTCCCAAAGGATGCTTTGGGCGTGAGGCCACTCCTCACCCCGCAGCCCCCCACTCTCTCCCCTCTCCAGAGGCTCCCAGAGCCCACAACGGTCCTTTCTGCCTCCTACCCAGCGGCTTCCCCGCTTCTGGCCAGCAAAGACTTTCTGATAACAGGAGAGGGCAGTGAGGAGGACTTCCTGGAAGGGGTGACAGCCCAGAGCCTGGACCTTGCCCACACCAGAAGGCATCAACAGCAAGGTAAGTGCTCATACAGGGGGGGACCCCAACTCCTTGTCCTGTCCCCCTACCCCAGCCTGTGCCTTCTCAAGTAGGTCAAAAATGGAAAATATTTTTAACAAAACCAGATGGGAGGAGACTGGAGCCTGTGGGCAACATCAGGGATGGAGGAACCAGCTTTCTCCTGCTTAGGCTGCTGCTGCGGGAGAGTGGCCCAGGCCTCCTCAATCCTGCTGCCCCCTGACCTCATCAAATAAACCCCAGAAGTTTCTCGGTGCCATGCTGAGTGGGGGTCTCCAAAGCACAGCAGCGCCTGTTGGAAGTGGGGGCTGCCGGGAGGGGAGTGAGAAGGAAATTGGGAGATGGCAAGCAGGGCACACGGAAAGGGGACCTAGAAGGGGACAGGGGACCCCAAAGCCTGACCCTGTCCCTTGGCCCAAGCCTTGTCCCTAAGAATCTGTCTGGCTTTAGGCCAGTAGGGCGCCAGGCAAACTCTGGGGATTTAAGTGGATTTGCAAATTTTCCAGATTCCTAAGATGTCCTTCCAAACCCCCAGTGGCTAGGAAAGTTCGAAGGCGAGGGGGCTGGGGCTTGGCAGGCCATGTTCACGCAGCTGGGGCTGGGGGTCAGGGACCGGGCCCTCAGATCTGGGGGCCCCTCTGTGAAGAAGGGGGATCGGCTGCTGGGCCCTTTCCCCTGGTCCCAGGCAGCTGCTCAGGCCTCCGGGCCAGCTGTCTCCTTCCACGGCTTCTCCACTCTATCCTAAAACAAAAATTGGATCACAATTCCGCTGTGCATCTTCGTGTAGAAAGGGCCTGTGCTGCCCCTGATGGACACTCACTTCAGGCCAGGACTATGTGGAGTGCTTTATAAGTGTGATCTCGTGCAATGCTACCCAGCAACTCCCGCCTTACGTGCGGGGAAACTGAGGCTCACAGCAGCAACACGACTACCACACACAGCAAGTAAGTGGCAGAGTGCTGGCACATAGGAAGCTCCCTGCGCTGTCACTCCAAACTTGGTCCTTGTGTTCCTGTTCCTTCCAGTCAGACCCCAGGATTCCCCCAAGGAACTGGCACAATCTTGCCCGTGGACACGTCCTGCACTTTCCTTTCAAGGAGCCTTCCCACTCCACCTCCTCCAGGCAGCCTTCCCAGGTTCTTCCAGTCTTCCAAGTGCTCTCCATGCCCTCCTCACTGGTGACTTGTTGCTTGGCCCTTTCTTCCCCTTTGTGTTCTGTTTGCATATCAGAGATCCTTCAGGCCCTGGGCTTCCCCCTCTTGTGTTCTGTCCCTCATGTCCTCCTGTCAGCAACGGGGCTAAGAAAATGTCCTGGTGAAAGGGAGGAGGGACTGGCGGAGGAGCCTCTGTTCTCAAGTGTGAGACCGGAACCCCAGGCCTCCTGCCCTCCCTCAGGTAGCCTTCCAGAACACCGTGCAGTTCCTCCAGACCGCGTCTGTCTATGTCAAACCAGGAGGGGTGTCCCTGCCCGCATCTGTGATCCCACAGCGCACAGAGGCCTCTAGCAACATCTGAAGTCAGATAGCCCTCCTGGCCTCCGGACAGGAGGACCATGTCGGTCACTGTCATTAAGTGCCGACTGCATCCAGGCACAGAGCAGTCCTTTGGATCAGTATTGTTCCCCCTGCTTTGCCGACAAGGGAGCCAAGGCTGAGAGAAGCTGAGTGACTTGCCCAGGGTCACACATTAGAGTTGGTATTGAGACCACGGTCTGCCTGAGTCCAAAGACTTAACCCCCTCGCTACCCTGGTCAGAGGGGAGAGCCGCCCTCTTCCCACAGAGCCTCTCCTGGCTCCAGTGCCAACAGCAGCAGAAAGTTCTGCATCGGGCCTGACCTGCTCCCAGGCCCACCTGGCCCTGGCTTGGTCCTGAATGAGGGCCATCTGGTCAACACCCTCCCTTCAGCAGTGCTCAGGCAGCCCTCCCTCCTCTGTGGGAAGAAGAGCTGAGACTTGTAATTGACCGCAGATGTGGGGCAGCGGAAAGCACCATGGATTCAGAGTCAGGAGACCTGGCGCTTGCCCTGGCTCAACTCAGATCCATTGTGCGGCCAACCTCAGGCCCGTGTCTTCTTTCTGGGCTGCGTCCGCACCTGGAAGGCAGTGGGCACCATGGGTAAACAGCGCCAGGTTTGGGCATCCGCTGACCATGCATCATCCCCCATTCGGCTTCTGGCTGACTGTGTGACCCTGGGCCAGTGCTCTGCCCCTCTGGCATCGGTCCCCAACTCTGTGAGCAGCAAGGCAGTGTGTGAGCTCCATGAGCTAACAGTGTAGGTAAGACTGTCAGCACGGTCCCTGCACTTCATGGGCTGGACCCAATGTCCTTGTCTGGGCAAGGGCCACGCTCTCCTGCCTCCTGCACAGAACAACTTGGCTATGAATTTCTTCTGCAGTCTGCAAAGGGCTCTGCCCGTGGGAGGGACCTGGCCACCAGTGGCATTCTAAAGGCTCACGCCATCTTCCAGGCACAGCCTGTCTGAGACCAGCTGCCTCTCGGCTGAGGGAAGGGACTCTGGGTGTTTTGCTCAGGACAGGCAACTGAGTGTGGTAAAGAGGGAGGAAGGAATGAGAGGGTCCCCAGACATCCCTGAAATACACCCCCTGCCTACCCCCCATTTTTGCACATGGTTCAGACCCTGCAGTCAGTGGACCTGGGAATGGGGGAGACCTTCCTCCACTGCTTTCTGCCATCCTCCACCCCACACGCACCCCACGAGCCTCCCCAGAGGCTCCTTGGCTGGAAAGCAGTGTGTACAGGAGGATAGAACGGACCAGCCCTTTCTGAGCATTTCCATCGTGTTTTACATCCATTCCCTCGAAGGTCACTGCCGTCTTTCTCAGCGCTCAGAACAGGCCAGCATTCAGTAAGTGCTTAAATATTTGCTGAACTAATTTAATCATCACATCAACCTCCAGGAGTAGATATAAACACTCTCTGGGTTACAGATGAGGACATGCCCAGAGAGGTTAAGTCAGTTGCCCCAAATCCCACAGCGAGGAAGTTGTGGAGCCGGGACTTGCACCTGGGTGTTTCTCACTCCAGCGTCCTGAGGAGAGGCTGGGTGGGGCTTGGGAACCCGCTACAGATCCAGCATAAACTCAGAATGTGCCTCAGCCGTGGGGGTGGTCCCCAGACCCTGAAACTCACCTCGGATGCCGGCGGGGGAGTCAGTCCCTCTCTGGGCCTTCGTTTTCCCAATAGTAAAATAAGGAAGTTGACCGAGACGATCTCTAAGCTCCTTCCAGCCCTAAAACAATTCCAGGATTCCGGGCCAATGCAGCCCAGGTTGGCAGCCGCACCGGCCCTGTTGTGTACTCAGGGATCATGCATATTTAACTTCACGGTGGAAGCGTTTTTTCTTACCCTTTTTCTCCATGTTACAGAAAGTGGTCGGGATCGATGACCACTAATGGAAAACTGTTACCTGCAATAACTAGGAGAACTTTTGGACAGTTAAGAGCAGCCTGTTAATGCACTCAGTTTCCCAGGGAGCAGAGCCCACGTGCCCATTTTCCCGGGATACTGAGGAGGGAGGGTCGGGAGGTGCGCTTGTTAGGGGTGTGTGTGGTGCTCTGACCTCATATGCTCTGATTTCAAGCAGAAGTAAGGCTTTGGCCAATGGTAAATGGACACACGATGAGGTCCAGAGGTGAGGGAATGGATGCCAAGACGCAGCTTTGCTGTGAGGATTGCAGAACTCACACACCTGTTGATTCCAGTGTAGAAGTCCACCTCAAGTCCCTCCTAAGACGTCAGGTCCACCTCACGTCTTGGGAGGTGGGGGCAGGAGAATTCTCAGGCAAAGGGCTTCCTGAACCCTCAGGCCCAGGTCTCAGGCCCGTCCCCGCTTCCCAGATGCTTTCTGGGCACCCCGCCCCCAGTCTAAGCAATCAAAGTGTATTGCTTGAGCTGCATTGATACCTTCTCTTCGCCTCACTTCAGATCAGCGCTATTTGATGTCTCACGTGCCCGGAACCTTTCATCTGGAGGCACCAGCTTCTCCGCCCTCTGATGGGAAGGGCTGTCCCTTGGGAGGTGGGGGCAGCAGGGCCAGGGGGTCAGACAGTTCCTGAAGGTCAGAGATGAAAAGGACGCTTGTGGCCAACTTCCTTATTGTATGGGTGGGAAACTGAAGCCCAGAAAGGGGGGATGCACCTCAGGTTATATGGGTTGAGCCCAGGGCTCAGGCTGCAGGCATGGCCTTTGCTCTGCCACCGAGAGTGCTCGGGCTGCAGCTCTCCCCGACCATGGCCACAGGGCAGAGCTTGGGTTGAAGAGGAGCAAGGCCATCCTGACAAGTGGTGGGAATCCCCCTGGGTAGTTTTTGAGCCACACAGCCTTTGGTTACATGGCTTCTCCATTCCGGCCATAATTTCCTTTTATGTAAAATGGGGGGAGGGCCAGGGTGACCCTAGAGGTTCCATCTGGTTCCATCCAGCTCTGTCCTTGGCCCCTGAGAGCCCCTGGCAGGCACAGAGAGGGATAAGCAGACTGGTGGGTGGATGGAAGGCCTGATGGACAGACGGCCTTCCCTGTAGTCCAGGGAGAAGGGGTGACTTCACGAGCAACCCACCAGCGCAGTCACAGAGCCCTCCATGCTCAGGAGGGTCCTGCACGTGAAATCCTTCATCTTTTCTTAACAAGGGGCCCTGCATTTTTGTTTTGCTCTTGGCCCCCACAGATTACATAGCTGGTCCTGCCAGGGAGTTCAGGCTGGGTCTGAGGTGGCTTCATCCCCACACTTGGTCTCACTGCCTCCTGTCCCCATTCTATCCATGCCCTCTCACAAAATGCCAACCTGCGCCTGCCCCTCTCCTAGTGGAGCCCCCCCCACCCCACACACACCCCATAGTGCTTGGAGTTGCACCATTATGGCTGCCCAGCCAGCAGCTAGCCCCCACCCTCACTATCAATGTCCTGAAAATTGGTTTCCTTGTACATTCAGGCAAAGCTCAAATCCTGGCTTGGCACCCCAAATCTTTCCCAGAGTGACCTCT